CTAAAATATCAAAATGTTTTATAGCGATTCTTATCAGCTTTAACATTCCAACAAATTATTTTGATGATCCAACAAAAAATTATTTTCAGATCTGAATTCAGCAAAATTGTTCTTTCCGTGTATCTAAATTGAGAAATATATTTTTATATGTTTTTAGCAAAATTTTTAGACCTTTCAATAAAATCGTTCTTTCCGTGTATGTTTTGACAAGAATGAGATAAGGAATCGGATAACTGCTTGACATTATTGCGCTAATAATATTTATTCAGTCAAATTGCCCACATTAATTGTAATTTAGATGATCCGAGGTGCTCTACCGTACGATAAAGATTGATTAATGAGGGAATTGAAAATTATCATGGATCTCGAATTTTCACTCACGCTTCTCGGCATCAAATTTAAATATATTAATCTAATCTTATCTATGATAAACGTATACATTGTTTTTATTATTCTTGGAAATTGTTGGAGGCCGGACAACGTCCCTTTCGTCGATTACTTAATACTTGATTACGAATGACAATTGGCTCGTTATCGCTCGAGAGCAAATCAAATTTACTCTACTGAGTTTTCTCATCCAAGATTTCTGTCGCGCGTGGATTAAATTTTCCACGGGTATACATCGTGTTTTCTCCATGAACGGTATGCTCGTATATCCTGCAGATAACATATACGTAAGTAAATAAAGATACTTCGTATCTACGAAGTGTACATCGATGTTGACAAAACACACTTGGAATCCGTAAAGCTCGTCTCCAGAGAAAGGACGACAGACGTCTTCGAGTAAATTTTCACGAGAGAGCAGTATTCAAAGTTGAGAAAATTTTATGGTACAAAATCAGTCGTCATGAAACTTGACATAGATATAATATGGTAAAATATGAAGAAATCTAACCAAAATTGAATGGCTAAATGAGTGAATCCTGATTGAGATAAATAAGTCCGATGAACTGTATGGCGGCAATTTGCCACTTTATCTCATTTTGATAATGTCTGTATTAAGTTTCATGACGATTAATTTTGCAAGGAT